TCCAACCCCAATCCAACCTAATCCTCCTCCATCCAACCCCAATCCAACCCCAGTCCAACCCCAATCCAACCCCAATCCTCCTCCATCTTTTATTCATTTAACCCCCTCCATTATTCCCAGGAAACTAAACCTCTTCTATTAAGTATTCTATGGATCCGCCTCAAAACAATAAAACATTTTTTCTCTCTCAAATGTTAATCTTTAAGCTCCAACCTATGCAAGATTTTTTAACGCGAAAAACCGGATTTTTCAAGATAAGATCAGTGTCTTCATGTGAAAGCTTGTGATTCATGGTTTTGTAGAACTAGGTGTAAAAACAAAACAAAAATATTTATTTTAAAGATCCCTAAAGAGTAAAAGACTACATAGTTACACAAAAAGGACGAGATTTGTATGACGATCTGCAACTCAATTAAAGGGACTTTTGTAATTTTAAGTGAACTTCTATTTAAAGAGGGACATGCCCTATTCACAACGGTATCTAATCAATAATGTTGTAATTTTTCTATGTAGCTAGAAAATTGTTTGATTATGAAAGTTTTCTCCAATGTTTCTGCAAGCAGAAATGCACGAGTCACTTTTTGAGAGAAACCATACTGGATTAAAAATAATAAATTTTGTGCGTGAATTATAGCTCATTTTGATGTCAAAACTTTTAATGGTACAGTTGGGAATCGTATATTCTATAAACATGACGTAACTTGAAATTATACGTCCTATTAAACCCATTTTAAGCCCTACAGTGTTAGATGTAAAATAAGAGCAGCCAAAGGAAAATGTTCATCTGTTAAAAATAAAGAAAATTTCAAAAATTTAAGTTATTTTTAGTGGCAGTGAAGGTTCCTTTTAGGTTCTTTTTAAAATTTCGCTCCCCTAGACAGAAACAGTAATTCAATACTCTTTAAAAGAGTAAGGACAAACTCCTGTGTATTGAGAAGAAAATGATATAATTCTAGTGCTAGAGAGAAGGGTTGGGAATTGGGATTTGTTTAAAAATGATCTAAAGTATACAGAAAGAGAAGGTCAAATCCATGTGACATTATTGGAATGACTTTGTGACCTAGTAGATCCTCTAGTTTTGATTTAGGCACAAGTAAAGTAAATTTATTATTTCTTCTCAATAGGTTTTTAACGTGAGGAGTTATGATTAAAAATATGTAAGATTTTAATTTAACTTTTACTTCACAATTATTCGATTTTGTAACCAGGAAAGAAGTTTATGCTTTCTAAACAGGTGACGTCGTTGGTGAGCAAGTTTTATTTACAAATAACCAACTGTTTTTTAGAAAATAGAAAAAGGTGCGATTTTACATTGTTTAAAAATATTTACTGCAAATTACGTAATTTATATTAAAAATTGACATGAAAATGTTAGAACACATACCTTTATGAATGCTAATTAAATGGTTTGAGGTGTGCAATACATTAAATTCTTTCAGTTCATCTTTAACCTAAAATAATATTTTTTTTAAATATTTGGTTTTATATTTTGGTCCCAAATATTAAGACTAAATAATGATTTAAAATGAAAATTTTAAAGTTTGACGCCATTTTCCCGAATGTTTTACTTATTCTTGAACGTTAATTTGTTCCCCTTACATAATATTCTCCAGCAACCTCTAAAAAGGGGGAATTTTTATCTCTAAATGTGGTCTTAAGTTTCTTAACCACGGTAAAACCCCAAAAACTGTGGAAAAGGAAGGTACAGCATTTAAGCAATAATTAAGTGTATTTGATGTAGTTTAATTAGCAACATAATCAACTTATTAATTGAAATGGGTCTGTTCAAACTGCACAAGTCCTGTGTCTCATGTAAAAAGGATGTATTTAGAGCCTGAACTTAAGTATGAAAGTCGTCTTCCTATTCCGTATTTTTCTGTTTCAACAAGCAGTAAATTCTCTACTACTCTGCTCATTATAAGAAAAAAACTATATAATAGCCTTAAACTTTGCTTAGTCTAAGTATAAAATATCAAAGTTTAATACCATTAGCTGCAAAGATATAAGGATTAAAAACTAGAATTTGAGGCAACAAATCAGAAACTTTAATGAGAAAATCGGAAAAAGTTTAAATCGAATAGGTTTATAACATAATATTATTTACCTCTGAGTCGGGTTCTATAATTATTGTATTTTGATCCACTAAACTCACAAGCCCTGAACCATCATCTAGTAGGTCAACTTTACCACAATCCAGACCTAGATATATACCACATTATCTAGGAGGTCAACTTTACCACAATCCAGACCTAGATATATACCACATTATCTAGCTGGTCAACTTCACCACAATCTAGACCTAGATATATACCACATTATCTAGGAGGTCAACTTTACCACAATCCAGACCTAGATATATACCACATTATCTAGGAGGTCAACTTTACCACAATCCAGACCTAGATATATACCACATTATCTTGGAGACCAACTTTACCACAATCCAGACCTAGATATATACCACATTATCTAGGAGATCAACTTTACCACAATCCAGACCTAGATATATACCACATTATCTAGTAGGTCAACTTTACCACAATCTAGACCTAGAAATATACCACATTATCTAGTAGGTCAACTTTACCGCAATCCAGACCTAGATATATACCACATTATCTAGGTGATCAACTTTACCACAATCCAGAACTAGATATATACCACATTATCTAGAAGATCAACTTTACCACAATCTAGACCTTAACATATACCACATTATCTAGGTGATCAACTTTACCACAATCCAGACCTAGATATGTACCACATTATCTAGGAGTTCAACTTACCACAATCTTGTTTATCGTACACATTTAATAAAAAAACTATTTATGGCGGATGTTTTATTTTGAACAAGCTTATAAATATGAATTTAGAAACATGGATAAACTTTAATGCCTAAAAAACAAGATACTTTGCAACCTTATAACCAACTAAAATAAGTAAAAAATGAATTAAAAACAGTGATCCATGTTTAACAAATTCAAATTGAATAGCTTTGATTTAAACTTTGCAGATTGTTGAGATTTAAAAAAAAGCTCGCTCTTTGTCGATTAGGCGAAAATGTGCGGTATGCCAAGTTCTGTGCAAATATTTACTTTTGCACTTAGATATAGAATAGAGAAGAATTTCGCATTTTCAATTCCTTTATATATTGCTACATACTTTGTAAGAAAGCCATCAAAGACTTTAGATTTTTTCTGGCTTTTAACATTTAGAAAGTTTAACAGTGAATGTAAAGTGAAAAGGATGTTTTCCGCATTTTCTATAGTGTCCAAATAAAGGTTGAAATCAATCTGTGTCATGCAAGTTAAGTAACGTTTTAAAGTTGAGACCGCCAGTTGAGTTAAAGGAATTGAGTCTTTGCCACAAAATAAAGTTTCAAACCCCTTTATCTTTGCAACTTGATGGTGTAAACCGTTGATATTTCAGACTTGAATTATTCGATCTAAAACAGAATTCATAGTTTGAAATATCTAAGGTTTCGGCACTGGGTTGCAAAGAAATAGTAATTAGAAAATCAGAGTTTGTGTCACAGACTGAATTCCTTTACCCCTACAGAAATAAAATGCTTCCATGGCATAACGATTCTCCTTAGGCCTTCTTAATCCTTAGACGCCGCCCCCCTGGCCCATCCATTATTTTCTATATTTTGTAAAAGTTAAAATATTTAATGTTTGTTTGATGAATCTTCCCTGTTGGTATTTATGTTTAAAGTCCATGTAACTGCCAGGGGCCTGGCCCCCCCTGGTCTTCTACACCTCCCTCTGCCCCCCTTATTGTTGACCCCCGTTGACAGAGACCCATCCCACAGAGACACGTCACAGTTCTCTTTGGTAATTTATGGAAACTTTAAAGGGACTGTGAACGATATTTTAAATGACTCTCAGTAATATGCCCGATTTCGATTCACAACGGTACCATTGAAACCTTAATATAATTAAAAATCTGGAAGCTAACGTCGTTTTTTTACTAAAAAAGTGTCCAATTCTGATAAATTATCAATTGTTTCTAGTAAATATAAGAAATGCGAAACTCGCGAGTCACTTTTGCAGAGAAACCACAAAAGAAAATAAACAGAAAAAAAAACAAAATAAAAACATTGGTACTCAAATCATGCTTGATCAGACTAAGCTAATCAATGTACTGAAGAAAATTTGGATATCTACCTTGTTTAAAGAACCCTGAGAAGTGATATCTACCTTGTTTAAAGAACCCTGAGAAGTGATATGTACCCTGTTTAATGAACTATATCTACCTTGTTAAAGAACTATGAGAAAGGATATCTACCTTGTTTAAATAACTCTGAGAAAGGATATCTACCTTGTTTAAAGAACTATGAGAAAGGATATCTACCTTGTTTAAAGAACTCTGAGAAAGGATATCTACCTTGTTTAAAGAACTCTGAGAAAGGATATCTACCTTGCTGAAAGAACGATGAGAAAGGATATCTACTTTGTTTTAAAAAATTTGACAAAGGATATCAATTATCAACCTTGTTTAAAGAACTCTGAGAAAGGATATTTACCTTGTTTAAAGAACTTTGAGAAAGGATAACTACCTTGTTTAAAGAACTCTATAAAGGATATCTATTTTGTTTAAAGAACTTTGAGAAAGGATATCTACCTTGTTTAAAGAACTCTATAAAGGATATTTACCTTGTTTAAAGAACTCTAGACAGGATATCTACCTTTTTAAAGAACTCTATAAAGGATATTTACCTTGTTTAAAGAACTCTAGACAGGATATCTACCTTGTTTAAAGAACTCTTAAACAGGATATCTATCTTGTTTAAAGAACTCTATAAAGGATATCTACCTTGTTTAAAGAACTCTGAGAAAGGATATCTATCTTGTTTAAAGAACTCTGAGAAAGGATATCTACCTTGTTTAAAGAACTCTGAAAAGGGAAGATTTGAAGCGTATGGATTCCAGCCTCCTGACCTCTCTGGATACGGCTCAACTTCACTCTGCTAAAATTTAAAAAGTTGTAAGACAGAATTTTTTTAAGTATTAAAATCTGGCATTCTATGAGTCAATAAATAAATCCATTTGGAAAATAATCTGGGCCCTAATTTTAACTTAAACGAATCTTTTTATCTGTATCATTATTTGTATGTATTTGTATCTATATCTGTATCTGTATCTGTATCTGTATCTGTATATGTATTTGGATCTATATCTGTATCTGTATCTGTATCTGTATCTTTATCTGTATCTGTATCTGTATGTTTGAGTATCCGTCTGTCTGTCTGTTAACGTATAAGTCTGTTTAAGTATCTGTCTGTCTGTCCGTTTAAGTATCCGTCTGTCTGTCTGTTAAAGTATCTGTCTGTCTGTTTGTACACGACGCTGTCTATCTGTTTTGGCAAATTGTATTATTTGAATGGTTCGGATTGACTTTTACAAGTTGTGTTCAACGTTATATTTGTAGGATGGTTTACACACAACATGATATTCAATACAACAGTTGGCTTTACAACTTTTAAATATACACAGTACACTCTATGTACATTGTACATTGTTATAATCATGTTTTTGTTAAAGAAAATAAGATTTTTATACTTTATGAATCACGCAACCTCGTTGTTATATTTAGAGCAACATTTATCATCCAATAAAATATCTTTTTTTTTCTGTGCGTTAAAACATTTAAAATGTGACGAGAATTTTCCACTTTTGTGATTCGCGGAATTAATAAATTGGGTGAACGATTTTTGTTTTGACTGTATTAAATAATTTTTACAAAAAAAGGTCCAAATTTGATAAGATACTATCATTCATCGTAATTAGAATAAAAAGCAGAAGTAGAAAATGAAATACAAAAGAGAAAAAAGAATACAGCAATAACCCAAAAAGGGGATTTATTTATAATAAAAAGAAGATTTTTTTTGCTTAACATAACGATGTTTTCTGGTTTTATGAATGTATGTCTTCATGTCTAGTTTTCAAGCTTTCAATTCAACCACGTGTTAGCTTTTTTATATACAGGGTGTCCCAGTAATCATGACAGTTAAAAGAATCGACGGCGTAAAGGTCGTATTTGATCGTCAAAAGGACAATTTTTGTAAAAAAAAGGCTTCAGGAGGTGTGCCACTTCCAGAACATTTCTGAAAGGGAGTGACCGGCGTAATGTATGGTAGTTGAATTGAGAATGTTATAGTATTGTGGTAAAATTTTATTGGATTCATTTGAAGCTTACAAAACGTATGATGTTTAAGTACTTTCTTTACGTCGTCGATCGACTGTAATGTTTAATGGGCCACCCTGTATTTGTTAATACTTGTCTGCTTGATTCGTCTTCATTTCTTCTCTGTCTATGTTTTACAACGTTTTTTTCTTTCTAACCAGCATCTTTTTTACTGTCTGTAGGGTTTTCATTCGAAATTTCGTTGCGCGGAATTGCACGCACCTGTTCTCGCATTTCGAGGAATTGTGCGGAATTCAGTGGAATTCCGCGGAAATTACAGGGCTCGTAATTGCGCGCAAGTAAAATCCACTTGCGTTGGTACCCAAATTGTCTGGTTAATGGCTTTTATCTTTTTTTATGTTATTGTGTAATTCTGCGCAATAATTATTGCACATTGCAATTAGCTTTAGCCAGAGGAAAGACGAGCTTTCTGTGAGAAATCTTATTTGTGGGCGAAACTCAGCAGTACCAGGCCTAATTTAGAATCAAAACACCTTAACTTCAATCTTTCAGCTTAACACATTTAACAGTGCTGCATCCATAGTTAATTCAAAAATTCAAAAGAATATTGTCACGATGTATCTTCATACATCTTGTTTGTGTAATCCCTGTATCCGTAATCCGTGTATCAGTTATCCCTGTATCGCTAATATTTGTATCCGTAATCCTGGTAACCTGATCCTTGTATTCTTGTATTTGTCTTTCTCAGTATCTTTTATCCCTGTATCCCTGTACCCCTGTATCCCTGTATCCCTGTATCCCTGTATCCCTGTATCCCTGTATCCCTGTATCCCTGTATCCCTGTATCCCTGTATCCCTGTATCCCTGTATTCCTGTATCCCTGTATCCCTGTATCCCTGTATCCCTGTATCTTTCGTTGTCCCTTTATCTTTCTTCATTTCTGTACAAGTAACAATTGTATCTCAATAGCTCTTTATTGCTGTATCTATGTACTAATTCTTAATTGCTGTATTTGTTTAATCTCTTTAACTTGACATATCCGTATCTATTTGTATCTGAATCTCTGCAACTATGTATCCCTCTATCTCTGTATCTCTATATCTCTGTATCTCTATATCTCTGTATCTCTATATCTCTGTATCTCTATATCTCTGTATCTCTATATCTCTATATCTCTGTATCTTTATTTCTCTGTATCTCTGTATCTCTGTATCTCAATATCTCTATGTCTCTACATTTATGTATCTTTATATGTTTAAATCTGTAGCTAGCTCTATATCTTTACAAATCTGTATCTTAGCTCTATAACCTTGTGTCTTTGTATTATTTAATCTTTGTTTCTTAATGTATTTTTGCACCGCTGTATCTCTGTATTTTTTACCACTGCTCCCTAACTACATATTTTAAAGAATACACTACCCAAGTTACCCATGTATTCCTAAGTAAGCTTGCACGCTACCCTATTCAAATGTATTTGCCTAAAAATGAACCTATGCACGAGAAGGCCTTCATCTAGTGTTTATTTTAGATAAAAGTAAACACTAGGTATCCAAGTCCAGTGCCTAGACACCATTAGCTACCTAGTTCAGTGGGACTCATAAAACTGTAGAATATTAAGACGACTGTTAGACATTGTAATTGTTCAGTGAACGCAGGCCAATTTTGCTTAATGATTTGATTAGAAAGCAACTGTTAAAACGTTTTTTCATAAATAAATTCGACAAATACAGTACACGTATACCTCCCTAGTCACTACCTACTTATTATCTATTCGTCATCTGTTACAGTGAGTCCCACAAATCTGTGGAATAAGAAATAAAGCAAATATTTTTACCAATTGAAAACATCATATTTTTATGATTGAGTTTAAAAGTCTTCTTACTATACCATAGCTTTATGAGTATCACTGTAGTTCCTTCGTTATACTATCTTTCTTAAATCTTGTTTCCTTAGAACTTGATTTTTAATTGTATTTAATGTTGATTGTTTTGACATTAAATCCTATTCTAGTTAATTCTCATTTAAATCCTCTTTTTAAAGAGCTATCAAGAAGAATAGAGATGTTCTGAATTAATTTTATTTACTCGGATAAAGTGATAAAGTTTCTAATACTAGAGGAGCTACGAGGTCATAAACTTGTGCCAGTAATGTTGCATAGATTTTAACTTTATAGTTTGGTGTGTTATTTGTGTATATATATATACGTGTTATTCTTATCATTTCTTGCATAACAGATTACTTACAAAACTTGGCTTGTTTTCAATTCTTAATCGAAAACAAATGTAAAAGACAGCCTTTTTCATGATAATATTTACCGCAAAATCAAATGATGACAGTAAGAATATGAAAAGCTCTGTAGTTTTGTGAAAAATAAAATTAATTTTTATGTTCTAATAATTGTCACTTCTGCTACAAAATATAACAAAATTATTATCAAGGGCGAAGTCTAGAATTTGTCGAGGGGGGGGGCTTAGCCCACATAGCCCCTACATGACTACGCCTCTGATTATTGTTTATGCTCTCAATATTAAAACTTTTCAATTTTTTTTTGATAAAATAGCAGTCTAATCCTTTGCGGATAATCCTGTATTAAGTACAGATTATAACTTTATAATGTCTGTACAGTGAACAGTGTATACAGTTTATATTGATACATTATTTGATTATTATCACACGAAACAAAATGATGCTTTTTATTCATTTTATTAATAATTAAATTTCTGGGAAACCATGAATCTTAATCAGACGTATCTTTTTTTAAATTGTCATATCTTTGTAGATTTTCCCAGTTCACCCTGCATACACTGGTTGTATGTAAAACGAGACACCCTGTAGAAAAGAATGAGATTGATTGGAAAGCATGCAATGAAAAGCAGTTCAGTATCAAACTCCAATCAGCCTTGAAATTATTTAACAAAATATTTTGAATTTCAACAAATATTTTCTTCAAATTTTTGGCACAAGAAGTATAAACATTCTGGCTATCAAAGGGACTGTACGCGTAATTTTAAATGACCCTCCATGTAAAAATGGCAACACCCGATTTACAACGGTAACCTTGAAACCTAATCTGCATGATAAATAAGCTGTAAGATAAAGCAAGAAATGAGCAATTTAATTTTGCAGAGAAACCACAAATGAAAATATACAGTGGAAAAAACTTGGATATCTTATTCATACTTAATAAGACAAAGCTTCTAGGGCTACCATTATAAATCGGAAGTTATAATCTTTGAAAAGGGCACTTAAAATTACGCTTACAGTCCCTTTAAGTAAAATTAAAGTTAATTTAAGTTTCAGTAATAAGTTAAAAACACGACAACTGAGGATACAAATACTGTTTTATTTCAATCTTAACAAATTCTGCAAAAAACAAAAAAATCTTTTTTTAAAACATAAAAATCATCGAAATTGTTTATAAACTAGCAAAATTTTCCATAATTCTTGAATTTTTCACACACTTCTCATTTTGATTTTCTGCCATTACATCTCTCTAACCTTAATCTTGTTCTATGAAGATTATAATAGTTTTACAGTGCAGTTGTCTAGTTAATCTTTTAGAATAATTCAACTATCTATCTATTCATGGTTTAAGTTTAAAAAAAGAAAACCAGTTTTTTTAAACGTCAACATACACATTCCATCACCCTTTCTCATGAAATTTTCAAAAAATTTTAAGTAAATTCATTTTAGAGGAAAAAAATCAGTTTTTTTTTGCAAAGAAACTGAGTTTTCCAATAATTAAACTCTTACTATTAATACTATACAAAGATAGTTATATATAGTTATTAGTTATTAGTATTGACAAAATGCATGACTTGATAACTAATCTTGAGAAAACATAAAAATTAGCAACCTGATGGTGTAAATCTCTGATATTTCAAATTTAGATTATTTGATGTTTTACACAGAATTCATGGTTTAAAATACAACATTTTACGATATTGGGTTGCAAAGAAAATCAGATTTAAAAGTGCAGCATAACTAATTTAAGGTGTACTTTGTCAACCTTACAAATAACCAATAGAAGCAATCAAAAACTCGAAAAACAGTTAGCAAAGTTACCAATTTGATGCAGATTTTCTACTTTTTGGGACTCCACTGACTTTCATATGTCGTCTTTTATTTGATTGTATTTCAGAGGTCGTAACTTCATAGAACACTAATCCATATCTTACTACAAAAATATCGCTAAAATTAGAGTCAGCTGTTTAATCAAAAGTTCCCACTCAGGATATCGCGTTCAGACGGTTTATTTCATTCAAAAGTTCCAATTTATTCCTTGGATGTGTTTATTAAAATGAATATAAACTTTGTCTAGTTTAACGCACATCAACTTTTTTATTCCTGAATTAAATAAAGTTTATGGAATATAAACTGCTAATAGAAGATTTGAGTAATGTTGGTTGTAAAATATGATTCAAAAGCAGCACATCATGGTTTGCACAGCTAGGGCTTGAATAATGCCCTTAAATGAACTTGAGTCACTTTTAATGAGAGTGTAAGGCCGGGAGAGGGGGGAGGGGACATAATCGTAGATATTAAACAAATGTTTAATTATATAAGAAAGTAGATATATTGAAACATTGGCTTTCTGTATGTCTGCTTTAAAATTTGAAATTAAAGCAATTTTCGGCAACACTTTCTGACGGTAAAATGGAATGTTCTTAGTCTTCTCGAAACACTTTCAGAAATTTATTTGTCGATAAGTGTATATTTTTCTATTCTAAACTTTTTCTGTCAATTAAAAAAATGTATTTTAAAAACTTTATTTGAAATTGTTAAAACAATGCTTGAGACGAGACAGACAATAAACAGAGTTGAGACAACGCAAAACCTATGTATTCGCAGCGTAAACTAAAGATGAATTTGCAAGTGCAAAATCATCATTTATTGCATTAACTTTTTGTACGTAAAATAATGCACGCCCGTCCACTTCATGTTTTCTGAATGGAAACTGAGGAATATGTTTTGTAAGAGAACCAATATAAGCATAAGTTTTAAAGAAATGAAGGTTACCGGTGGATATAAAGTTGCGTGAAGAGATTTCAATTTATCTTCATAAAATAAACAATTATTAAAGGCTCAGTCCGCGGAATTTTTCCTCAAAGGCCTTTCTCGCTTTTAATTGAAAACATTAGTTCAAGTCGAGTGACTCCAACGAGTTATAGGACGGTATCGTATTCCTCAGTCATGAAATATTTCGTCCTTGCATGCAGTAAAGTTTATACCATCAGAGTCCGAATTTAATAAATTTAAGCCGCGTCTCAAATCTGCCAAAAACGGGCTTCAATTGAGCGCCGGCTTAAATCTTGAAACATTGAATACAATTTTAAGTGGAACCAACCATATTTGAGCCTCGTCTCAAATTTAAGCCGCGGCTCAAATTATTTAAATTTGGCCCTCAGGTTGTAGGCATTGATGTATTAGAGTTTGAGGCTAGTGTTCAATACATTTTATTCTGAATAACCACATAACGTTACGTTTCTCACTTGTTAAATGATTTAAACGCTAATAAAGAAGGTATCGTAATAAGATTTTTAGAAAAAATAAAATGTCATTTCAGAAGCTTTAGAAATGTAGCATAATAGTCGACAAAAGATACTATATTTAAAAAGAAAATTAGAAGCTTAGCTTAAAATCTAAAATCTTTCTAAAAACTAAATTTATTCCTTGCAGCAGTGACTTTAACGAGAAAAAAGATAGTATCGTAAAAATTATAAGTTATAATTTTCTTCGCCATAATTATTTTTAAAAACTTTCATTTTGTAGGAACAGTTGTATGTCATTTCAAATATTATCTTCGAACACCATTGCAAATATAATCTTTGAACACCATTGCAAATATAATCTTTGAACACCATTGCAAATATAATCTTTGAACACCATTCCAAATATTATCTTCGAACACCATTGCAAATATAATCTTTGAACACCATTGCAAATATAATCTTTGAACACCATTGCAAATATAATCTTTTAACACCATTCCAAATATTATCTTCGAACACCATTGCAAATATAATCTTTGAACACCATTGCAAATATTATCTTCGAACACCATTGCAAATATAATCTTTGAACACCATTCCAAATATTATCTTCAAACACCATTGCAAATATAATCTTTGAACACCATTGCAAATATAATCTTTGAACACCATTGAAAATATAATCTTTTAACACCATTCCAAATATTATCTTCGAACACCATTGCAAATATATTCTTTGAACACCATTGCAAATATAATCTTTGAACACCATTGCAAATATAATCTTTGAACACCATTCCAAATATTATCTGCGAACAACATTCCAAATATTATCTTCGAACAACATTTCAAATATTATCTTCGAATAACATTGCAAATATTATCTTCGAACATCATTGCAAATTTTATCTGCGAACAACATTGCAAATATTATCTTCGAACAACATTTCAAATATTATCTTCGAACAACATTTCAAATATTATCTTGGAACAACATTGCAAAATGAATAATCTTTAAAGAATTGCAAAGCTGCTAAAGCAACAGTAAAATTATGCTAAAAGGAGTTGCAATAAAACTGCTGTAAACCTCAGTTTGATAACCAAATATAATTAACCTTTGAATTCTAAACTCAAAGTATAGAATATCATGGTTTGGGCTTGAGTTAATATCCCACAAAAAATCTATCATACTAGGATTTTTTAGTTAGTCTCGCACCTTATTCTAGTAACTTTTTTTAAGCTTTTAAATGTTCATGCTGTCGTTTCATTATAAAACTAAGTTTTCTTGGATTTTCTGTTTACAAATATTGATGGATTTTATTTTAGTTTTTACTGTAAGTTTTAAGCTTAAACGTACAATATATCTAAAATTACAAAGTATTTAACTTTGATGAAAATAATGCCGCATTTTGGAGATAACAAATTTTTACTGTAACATTCTAGGGACAATTTTGATGAAATCAAGAATTATTTATTCGGTTTTAATTTTTCATTGTGCTAATTCGAATATCGTACATAATGAACAATCTTTCCTTCTTGAACCCATGGTGTATCACACATCTGTAAATCATCTCTTCAATACTTTATTTATGAGAAATCTAATTAGCAGATTTAGCAAGATCAAAAAACTTAATTATTGGGTTGTTTTTTGAGAATAGTGATCTGATTAAGTTCACTGATGGAGGGGTAAATTTATAAGACATTAACGGTAAGACTTTGTGACCTCGTAGCTTCTCTAGTTTTGATTTATTGTAGAAGTATAAAAAAAGAAACTTTTTCCGGTTATATATTAGAAATTCTAAACGTTTTGTTCTTCTCCATAGCCCTCCAATAAGTAGAATTATGATTAAAAACATGTAGGATTTTAATGTAACGAGTAATTTACTTTAGCTTAACGTTGGTCCACCTCATCCACCTTATTTGTGAGAAATTTATTTACCATCGTAAAATTTGTGGGAACCCGTAGCTCAGGGACTACTTGATCCACCAGGTGATCGCGGTCACCCTGGTAAATCTTGTCAACCTCCTCCACCCTCCACCTTCCCCCGGGTGACCCCCTCACACCCTCACCCTCTACTTCCAGCCGGTCACCAGGCTGGGTCACTGACACTCCTGTAATCACAAGGTTAGGTAGGTCCGACCTATAGGTAGAGCCGGTCAAGAAGGATGATGACCGGGTTGACGAGCTAGAACCGGTCAAGAAGGATGACCGGGTTGACGAACTAGCGGGGATTGACCAGTCGTCATTCACCACTATGCTTGGACCGGCCATTCTTGGACCATTTCACAAAAAAATTGTCATCACATTATTTTTAAAATTTTTTTTTTATAATCTCACGATTTTTTTATTGCTGTATTTTTCGCCTTTGGTGTGTGTGTGTTTGAGTTTATGATGAGCTGGGTGCTGAACAACTGTGGCTCACCGTGGGGAGCTTACATGCGCCCACTACAAATATAAGCTTGCATACCCATCTGAAGACGCTCAAACCAGTTCTTGATGCGCGCCGCACATAGCGCCGAGAGATGGCGCAACCATCTTTAGCCGGGGGCAACACTTGTTGCCTAGCTACGGGATAAACAGATAAATATACAAATCTACAGGTTGTCTGAAAAAATTTTTAATTTACAAATATTTTTTTTTATTTATGTAAAGGTATACAAGTTTTTCTAGTTTGCAAGGTTACATAGTTTGACAAAATCTTCCTGTCTGAACTAATATTTTTTACTCTAGGTATTTTTTTCTGACACCATATACAAATCTGTTCAAAGATAGACAGATAAAAATATAAATATATAGAGATACGGTTAGATACATTAATATATTGGGATACAACCAATTAAAAAAAACTTAAAAACAAAAGCTTCATACTTTTAAAATAATTTATGTTGGAATAAAAATAAAATAAATGTATTAATAATCAAATCAACATTCTAAATTTACAATCTTTAAGTCTTTTAGCGCTCATGTCTGGAATTTCTTAAATTATTTTTAAATGTAATAACTAGATACATTGTTAAATACTTCTAAGCAACCAAATCAGATGTTCTTATGGGGTAAAGCACCTCATGGTGTTTTCTGGGGAGGGGGAGGGGGTGGATGATGGAAAAATCCCCACTAAATTTTTTTTTTTTTTTTTTTTGGGGGGGGGTGGCGTTCTATAAACGGAAGTAATCTGAAAGTTTTAGAAATCTAGAAGCAAATTATTTTTTTATGATATTGAAAACACAGAGTTTGAAACTAAGGGGACCAGGGAGACAATTTTTATCCAACCCATACTTTAAGCTAAAATTTTAGGTCGAGTTTTCTTTTACCTCTTCCCCTTTTCCCCAAAAAATCTTTCAGTTACGGGTCTAATTTAACCCTTTCTTTTAATTTTGAATAATAGAGTTATAGATTAACAGATCAGCTGAGATCGAAGAAATATGTATTTATAATCTAAAAAATGTTTCAGAAAATGCATTGATAATTCTAGTTTGAAATTTACCAGGCAGATGAAAGACAATCAGAAGAAAGATTAGAATAAAACATTCATTAATTTCATTTTAGTTGAAAATAATCATTCTTTTTTTCAACTATTCATTCCTTTTATACACTATTCAATCTCTTTATACACTATTCATTCCCTATATACACTTTTTATTCATTTATTCACTTTTTATTCCTTTATACACTATTTATTCCCTATATACACTTTTCTTGCCCTTTATCGAATATTCATTCTCTTTATACAATATTTATTCCATTTATCCAATATTCATTCCCTTTACACAATATTCATTCTCTTAATCCAACATTAATTCCCTTTATTCGATATTCGGCTGAACCGATCGGGACCATATTTTGTGTGGGACCTCATATGACCCCAGGGAAGGTTTATGGATCATCAAAGTAGGAAAAAAATTCCTGGAAAATGGTTGGATTTGTTTTTGAAAATGCGCCAATTCGAAAAGAAAATCCGCCAAAATTTGAAATTTATTGAAAATGGACGACTTTCAAAACGACAGTTAAAAGCTAAAATTATTTACAGGAAAGGGGGCGGGAAGCGCCCTAAAAGCCTATGTATTGTATATATTTGAATAAATAGTTAGATAGCTCGAGTTCAAGATTCGTGTCAACCTTTCACGCAATCTGTTATATAACAGACTATACTTCTCCCCCTCACATACCCCTCCCCCATTGAAAGTTTAATTCATAGAATGGATATTTTTTAGAAATGATATTTCATAAAAAGGATATTTCATAGAAATAATATATCATAGAAAGGATTTTTTTAGAAAGAATATTTCTTCGAAAGGATAATTCATAGAAATGATATTTCATAGAAAGGATATCTCATTGAAATTATAATTCATAGAAAGGATATTTAAAAGAAACATATTTCATAAAAAGGATATTTCATAGAAAGGATATTTCAAATAAAGGATATTTCAGAGAAAGGTTTTTTTTAAAGAAAGGAAACCTTATAGATATAACATCATAGAGCAAGAAATTTTTATAGATTTAATATTTCATTTATGCAAAGAGTATTTCATAGATTTGATATTTCATAGACAATTGCATATTTCTTTAATGGGACTCGCGACAAACTAGAGTAAATTAAATGTAAAATCGAAATCTTAATGTTTTCAATCATAACTAATAACAATAATTGGCAATGTTTGAATTTCTATAAATATGTAACAAAATAAAGGGGCTTTTCTCCTACTTGTACGTAAAATCCAACATAATACAGCGAGGAAAGTTAATGGCTGTTGCGTATTCTCTGCGCACATATTGAAACCAGTTCTCTCTGGGCGGTGTTTGTAAACAAGAATAGGGGCATCAGTGTTCCTAGGAGGATAAAAGCATTCAATTTTGATAATTAACATAACACACCAGCATATTTCATTGATTTTTTATGTAAAAATGGATTCCATTTCAGACTGTGACATCCGTCTTGTGTTTACTGTACCTCCCAGCGACAGTACACTGCAGTACGAAAAATGCGTACACCTCTGAAATAAATCTCTTTACATTATAATTCTTTGGTAAAATCTATACCAGAGGAGGTCACAAAGACGTACCAGTATTGTCACATAAATGTTACTTTCTCCTTCTGTCTTTAAACTAGGCTGAACATGTTCAGACATTGACGTTCATTTTCCATTCTTTGTCCGTTTCCGTTCGTGAACGATCTCAATTTAATTAATTGCGTTAACGAAAGATATTTAAAAGTTTCAATCTATACTCTGGCTAGGAAGGTCAGATTGTCGTGAATAACCCATTTGAATAAGAGGTTTAGAGGATTGGTGAGAATGATGCAAAGATAAGAGAGTACAGAGATCTATTAAAGGCTAGAATATGCGATATTTTCCACAGCAGGTTCCATTTTGTACAACTAGAGTACACGACCAATAAACAGACGTCTGCATTCAGGGATATTTAAGGTCCTTTGGATACGAAATACAAAACCTTCAAAATTAGACTTAGTTCATAAACTTTATGTTTTAAGTAAAAAGTTAGGGTATTATTTTAAAAAGTGTAAAACTTAACCCCTGCATGGATATAACATGCAACAAGTGGCCGTTAGATCGCAGTTAAAAACCTTTCGTGGAAATGTAGCATGTCGTGCCGGGACAACTATAGGCCTGCTTAGCCATTCCAGTGAGATCTTATGAGTAGTCTGTGTATTAAGGGTGATTGATTTGTGACTTTTTTAGAAATCAGCCAACAGCCCAACGGAGGTCGCTGCGTTTTTACTTAAAAAATATATTGTAATATCAAAAAATTCAAAATCGTTCATAGGGTTGCGAATTGGCGACTTAATATTGGAGAAATCGCTGTAAGGTCTAACAACAAATATTTCAAAAAAGTAAATATGTTATACAATTTTCTTGGAAATTTCATGTTGAATTCAGATTTGAAAACCATTTTAAAAAATATAAAATTTAAAGAAATTAATGTTTTTGATGAGTTTCTTAGCTTTGACTCACTCAATTTTCATTTTTTTTAAAACGCTTTTTAGATTTGAATTCAACATTAAACCAAGAAAATTATGTATAACATGAAAATTAAAAAAAAAATTTCATGGCCTCACGGTGAATTCTCCGATACTAAATCGTCTAATCGCAACCTTATGGACGATTTTGAATTTTTTTTGATTGCAATAGTTTTTTTAGGTGAAAACGCAGCGACCTCCGGCGGGCGGTTGGCTAAATTCCAATATTGATAATCCCTACTGTGTATATCTAGTCTGCAGATAACCCCTTTGAATGAGAGTGAGCCTAAGAGCAAGAGGATTGTAGTGAGAATGATGCATCTGGTGTGGCAGAGAATATAATATATTGTTTATTAAATTACAAAACAGAGGTCAGTTTACTATATTCTAATCATAAACAACAAAGGCTTATTACGTATAGCGGGATACAGGCAATGCAGGTTAAAAACAGAATACAAAAATATGTGTTAAGTAATTCAATTTAAATGTTGGGAATTTTGATCATGGAGTATAGACTTTTCAATCGGGACACCTCTGTGAAAGTGACTTGCGGAATTTTGCTGCAGTGACTATGGAGAAAAATTTACAGACTTCCTCAATGTTTATTTGTTACCAAGATAGAGGTTCTAAGAGTGCCGTTGTGAATCGTACCTGACCCTCATGCGATATTCCTGGTGCGACTTTGTGACCTCGTAGATCCTCTAGTTTTGTTTTTACACCCATGTATGAGAGAAGAAATAGTATTCAAATATACATTAGGAATTCAAAACATTGTCGTCCTTCTCAATAGATAAGAGTAGTTATCATTGAAAACATTTAAGACTTTAATCTCAATTTTGTTTAGTTTGACGTGTAGTATCTCACGTGGATTTAAGGGTTCTGTCAATATTCCAGAAAGGTGGGACTTTCGATCACAATTTGACCCATTAAACATAATTTTTCAGCCTTTTTTCTTAAATACTTTTTTGTTGGCATATGCATTTAGAATAAATATGTAAAAAATAAACAAATCCGTAAAGTAAATGATTATTGAATTAAATACCAAAACACGTTTGATTTCAAATAGAAGAAACCGAATGCTGCTCACTCTGGTTAGTCCGATGTGATCTGTGAACCTACATGATTGCTTGTAAAGCTCTTAATTTTAAACTAAAATAAAATTAAATAATATAAAAGAATTAATTATTGGCTGTATGAAGGAACCCTTGAACACACTGCAGCTCTGCTAAAAGTGCAAACCCCAAATTTAGCGCTAACAAAATGCAATATTTTGCAATTGTGAATATAAAAAAGATTGTGCAATGTGCATCTAAGATTACGTTTATACCTACAGTTTTTCTTCCATATTACAGTGATAACCAGACAACTCTGAAATAGGAAGACTACTTTTAGAATCAAGCTATAACTTCAAAAAGTCCAATGAGGATGAGACACAGCAATTTTTCAGTATAATCATGCAGACCCATTTCACTGAATTAATGATTTGAACCAAGTGTCTAGAATAAAACTATTT